ATGTGCTACTTGCTGCAAATTGCTTACTGCCACATAGATAAGTTAGGAGCTCCTAACTTATCTATGCCCTGGTCACACACACCATTCTTTTGTGATTATAAGAAATTTAGGATTATTTTTTAAATACATATTTGTTACTTATTAATGTGTTTAGTTTATTAAATATCTTCTTTAGCCTGACCTGCTTTTTATTTATTTTTTATAAGAAACAATATTATAAGAAACAATATATTGCGAGGCATAAGCACTAAACAGTAAGTCACAGGGATTAGAGCATTAAAGGGATACTATAGGCACCAAAACAACTTCGGCTTAATGGAGCAGTTTTGGGTATAGATCAGGCCCCTGCAGTTTCATTGCTCAATTCTAATTCTAAATTGCCATTTAGGAGCCATAGTCACACAGCTAGTCTGGCCTGAGCTGCATGCACAGAAACAAAAATGGTTTAACTTATAAATGGCAGAGAAATTAGCAGTTAGACTACAGAGACGTGATCAATACACCAAAATAGCTTCATTAAGCTAAATTGTTTTGCTGTTTGTAGTGTCCCTTTAAGTAGCAAAATTTAGGTCCTGACAATGCAGTATGAAAAAATCCCAACTCATTTGTTTTTCCAGTTTGTCTACCAAATCTATATTATATGAGTACAGCAAATCATCTTCTACTTAACCGTAGCCATTTACTGTTTATTAAATACTCCAATTTATCATCCAAATCATTATTTCTACATGTGTAATAACTGCTACATTTACACTATTTGTTCAGCATATGTTTTAAACATTAACTAGACTGGTTTTTTTTGCTTCCAGGGGCAAATTTAACAAGTGGAGAAATGCAATAATATTATGATTAAAACACTTTTTAAATAAATGAATAAAATATGTATATGGCTTTTTGTGTTTGTTTTTTTAGTTTTTTTTATTTCTCTATCTTTCGTTCTTAGGAAAATTAATATTCAGATTTTATTTTTACCCTCTTCATTAATCATACGTAATTCCATTAACCCTCTCTAAGCAGTACCTATTGATTATATATTAATAATGATGTATATATTAAGTGATAATGATGTAATTATTAGGTCATGCCTAATCAATATCACGCTGTAATGTAATTACTGTGATTAATCTATATACAATAAGGTTCATACATCAGGGCAAAATTATATACTTAAAAATACATACTTAAAGGCACACTTTAAGCACCATAATCACAATAGTCTTTTCTGTATCTGCAATGATGGAAGGGAGCAGCTCCCACCCCCCACACCCCTCTCCCCATTGTAAGTAGTCAAACAATTTTAGAATGGTTTGACTTTTTAATTAGGGTCTGTTATATGCTGGTCCCTGCCTCGACTGTAGCTACAGGAGAGCCAATAGTTCTTTGCCTGAGCAAAGCCTGGTGGTGCTTCGCTTAGCTCATCGTCTGAGAGTGATTACCTGAATAGTTCTTCCAGTGAGTTAGCCCTGCACTTCTGGGCTTAGCTCAGGAGAACTAACAGAAGCTCCTAAGTGGAGCCGGGGAGCAGCGGACCCCAGGTAAGAAGTCAAACCACTCTAAAATGGTTTTACTTACAATTGGGAGGGAGACGCACACTCCTGGTACAGTATAGTGGTTATGGTGCTTAGGGTGTTCCTTTAACCCCTTAATTACCAAGTAATGGTCTATGCCGTCATGCAGTGCAGAGCTTTAACCCTCAGTGACGGCATAGACTGTCATGCAGTAAAGGTACCAGCAGGTGCTAAATCTTTCGATATGTGGGGATTCCCTCTGCCAATTGCGGCCACAGCTAGTGGACCCAGACTGACAGAAGAGCAATGTGCAGTGCTCAAATTGGGCACGGCACATAACTGTTTAATTTAAATACACAATCACGCTCAGCCGCAGTAATTTTAAATGTGGCAAGAAAAATGTAGTGTGCCCCCCAGCCTGGCACAGTCACCTTCTGCAGAATATGTAACAATCAGCAAATGAAAACCTTCCAGCTCCTTATGTCGGCACCATTGATCCCAGGCAGCCGGGGTCTACATGCTATTAAAAGTTCACAAGGATGTGCGTAAACCTCCCTGAAGACCAATTGTTGCTGGTACAAACTCTATGTTCCAGCCATTAGCTATCCTTATTGACCGATTTTTACAACACTTAGTGGCTTAGAGTCCATCCTATATTCAGGATACAGATTAAAGATGTGATCATTGGGCCTGAAGACCGGCTGGTGACTTTGGATGTTTCTAACTCCTCAATTTCACGTAGGGATGGTTTAAGAGTTGTAAGAACTGGAGTTTATTTTGACTCTGTTAAAATTTGTTCTGTTAACAGAAGTGAAAGGGACATTGATAGGTGTCTATATGGCACCATCATCTGCAAATGTATTTATGACAGATTTTGAGAGGACTTTATTTATGACAGAATATAGGAGGTCTTGTATTGTTAAATAGTATAACTGCATAAATGACTTGTGATTTGGATGGTTTCTAAGGAACAGTTAGATAATTTCATCTCATTACCTGAACCAATGTCACTGCAATATTGCATTTGTCTGTGTGGCGGACCAGGAAAAGGTGAGTTATTTTGGATGTAACGTTTTGTAAGAATGGAGACAGGTTTGACAAAGATCTTTTCTCTAAACTACTGATTCTAACAGTTTTTTGAAAGCTGATAGCTTTCATCCCATTAAACAGAATCAATCTAATTCCTACAGACAGATGCTGAGTGTAATGTAGCCCTATGTAACAAAAGCACAGCTTAGTGGAAAGGGGCGTTGACAGGGCTAAGAGGCGGGCATTAAGAGGAAGCTATGTAGGGATTGGTGGTTTAGAGGGTTAGGGGCTGGGCTATATAAATAGGCAGCCATCTTAGGAAGTTCACTTTTAACTTGCCTACTTGGCTGAGTTTGTCCCTCCCTCCCTCCCTGTTTTTAATGGTGAGGTTGTCCCGTTCTGGCGGGATAGGGAGCTGAAGGGTAGGAAATAGGCTCTCCTTTAGGGTGGTTTTGGAAATGCTTATTGCTTAATATGGTTCTTGGTAATTTTGGTAGGTTTTGAGGCCGTCAGCGGCTCAGAATCTGATGGGGTAGGGGTATCCGGATAAACCCCTACCATGGTTAATTAAAATGTTGGCACTTTAATTTATGTTCATGTTGAAATACTGTTATGTGTTATTTGTTTATATATGGGTCATTGCCTGTTATATCTAACTGTGAGGATACGGATGTGGTATGGTTGGTTGGAGCAATGACCTCATCAATGTTAATTTACTACTATTATTAATAAAAGCTGTGGACAAGTTTGACCCCTATACCCTAGTGTCCGTGTTTTATTGGGTCAGGTATGTGGGGGGTTTGTTCTGATTCCGCCTGCCCATATGGCAACTATGCACCTGTCAGGTGAATAGTCAGCAACAAGTCACTGGTTGATAAGAGACTGAAGTTGATGATGACTAAATTCAGAGAGAAAGGATATAGTCAGAAAACTCTACAAGAGGGCATCAAGATAGAAAGTCTTTGTTGGTGACAACACTGATCAAAAAAAATCTCTCGTATGTCCAATCATATAAAGAAAATTATTTGCTCTAATTGGTTTAATTTATAAATAGAGAAATTGGTTATTTGTTTAGGGACCATCATATCTTTATGCATCAATGCGCACTTAAAGGACCACTATAGTGCAAGGAAAACATACTCGTTTTCCTGGCACTAAAGGGTCTTCAGGTCCCCCCCACCCTCAGGGCCCCCCTCCCGCCGGGCTCCAGGGGGTGGAAGGGTTAAATCTTACCTGTTTTCCCCCTCCGGGCTCCCTCGGCACTGGGGAACTCTCCTCCTCCATAGCGACGTCATCGGCTGAATGCGCATGCGCGGCAAGAGCCGCGAGCGCATTCAGCCAGTCCATAGGAAAGCATTCTCAATGCTTTCCTATGGACACTGGCGTCTTCTCACTGTGAAAATCACAGTGAGAAGCGCCTCTAGCGGCTGTCAATGAGACAGCCACTAGAGGCTGGATTAACCCTAAAGTAAACATAGCAGTTTCTCTGAAGTGAAGTGGTCTCGGTGCCTTTCGTGGTCCTTTAACATTAGTGACATGGTGGCTAGGTCTGAAATCCCTTCACCTACTAAACAGATGGTTTTGACCAGAAAAGTGAATGCTACTTTTTCATGGTTAAGTTGCAGCCATTGCAATGGTGTGATTAAAGGTGAGAGTCCTCACCCAAGGACTTAATGGAATATTTCACTAAAGGGATTTGTTCTGTGCCTCACTGATCATGAAGTATACCTGCTGAAATGCCCTTGTGGTCTTTGATTTGTGGGCAAGACCAGGGCCAGATTAAGAGCCCAGTGGGCCTGGTGCTGACAATTACGATGGGGCCTAATTACAGAATTTATCGACCAAAAACACTAAAATAGTCGTACCTCTTAAGCGTCATGTATCTAATGGAGATGGAAACTCAAAGGATGCAGCTATAAGAAAACACATACTCTATGCTTATCTCTCTCTAATTTATGCTTTCATCTTTCAAGTAAATCCCTACCCCCTAACAGCAGTGTCCAGTGAAACAGTAAGTCAATGGGCGGGGTAAAAGGGTGGGCCACTGAGGCGAATCACGTGACCAGAACTGCAAAAAGGGGCCACCCTGGCATCAGTGTCCCTATGTATCACAGTGTCAGTGTCCCCATGTCGCCTAGTCCCTTAGTCTCCCAGTGTCTGTGTCCCCATTTCTCCCAGTGTCCCTATGTCTCAGTGTGTCCCATGTCACTAGGATATTAGGGGACACTGGGGACACAGTGAGACATAGGGACACTGAGAGACCCGGGGACACAGACACTTGGGGACACTGGGAGACATGGGGGCACTGAGACACTTGGGGACACTGGGAGCACTTGTGGATACAGACATGGGGACACTGAGACATTTGGGGACACTGGGAGAAATGGGGTCACAGACACTAGGGACACAGAGACATGGGGACACAGACAATAGGGGACATGGGGACACAGACATTTGTGGAAACTAAGACACTGAGAAACTAGGGGAAACTGGGAGACATGGGGACACAGACACTTGGGGACACTGGGAGACATGGGGGCACTTGTGGACATAGACATGTGTCCCCAAGTGTCTGTGTCCCCACATCTCCCAGTGTCCCAGTGTCCCCTAGTGTCTCAGTGTCCCCATGTCTCCCTTTCCCCCATCCGTCACTTCCCTGAGCTGTAGTCTGTCTCTGCAGGCTGGGAGCTGCTGTCTGGACTCTCTG